TATAAAAAAATAATTTTTGCCCAAAGTATTTGGGCAATTTCGGCTACTAATAGAAGCAGTTTCAACCAGAAACCTTAAATGGGATATCATAAAACTGTTAATTATATAATCACATTACAAATGACTAAATTTTGAACCCTGAAATCCTTGGTAATACCAATGTTCACTTTGTCTGGTTTTGTTGCAGCATACCCCATTTAAAAATTTATCTAATTTAAATAATCATTTCTTTTTTATTAGAAAGATTTTCCAGAATACTCTTACCACACCTACCTCGGTTACACGAATCCCAACCCAGAACCCCCATGGTTGGTAGAAAATAAGGAAATCTTATCTTAAAAAAACCTGGTCGTGTAACTGAGGTAGGTGTGGTAAGAGTTTTTGATTTACAATTACATAATTTTCTAATACTAATAAAATGACTGATGGAAATGAAGCTTAGGTCTTTAGCTTTAATTTTATTGTTGGTTTACTTCTTTTCTTTTTTAATAAGGAGTTATAAGCTTTTAAAAGTCATGTGATAATCATTGACTGTTATAGATGTCCTGCACTATAAAACATAATTATTTTATTCTATATGGATATAATATATAAAGATTGATAGGTGCTTTAAATAAAAAATGTATTTTGATAATAATAATAATAAAAGATGATGATGACATTTTTTAATTTTTTTTAACTAGCATGTAACCATTTGCTGAAAACTCTTACCACACCTACCTCGGTTACACGACAAGGTTTTTTTAAGATAAGATTTCCTTATTTTCTACAATAATGGGGGTTCTGGGTTGGGATTCGTGTAACCGAGGTAGGTGTGGTAAGAGTATTCGCAAAATGGTAACACACTAGTCACGGGGAATGACAACCTCTGTGATCTTATTACAAAACTAAAATTGGTGTAATGTGAACTAAAAACCCTGAACACACTGAAACCATTTTGGTATAATAATAATGCTAATTAGTATGGTAAAAAATATTTATTAAGCTTTAAAATCATGTGATTTTTATGTGGGAACCCAACAGACCATCAATCCATGTGATCGGTATGACTAATTGCAATTCTATTAGCCATATATGTATAATATTTGTAAAATAAATTTTGTGAAGATAGAGAGGGTTATGTTAAACGAAAATAGCTTGGTCTGGCCTTAACAATACTAATTACTGTTTCGGATTAATACGTAATTACGGCGCAGCCATTAATAAAAATATACTAGATATAGTTAAATCTTACACCAATAGATCGGTATCTTATGTACTGTATGATGATGATTATTTATACAAAAAAAAATTTATATTTTCTGGGAAAAAATATCGTAGAACAATATATTGATATATAGTGTATAGTAATAGATAAATATAAAGCAATGACGGAAAATCAAAAAATCTTTAAAATGTTTGAAGAATATAATTTTGAGTCAGATGATAATTTTCAGGTAGTTTTTAAAATATCAATAATTTATTAAATAATAACTATTGGTGTTGTAATGTTAATATTAATTTTATCAGACAGGTTTACCAACAATTGTTGAATTAAATAAGGATAAACCAAAGAAAGAAGTTGATTCTATTATAGAGAAGGCAAAATGGTTTTATTTTTGCAAGTAACTAATTAATTAATTTTTGGTATTTAACAAAAAAAGAAGAATTAATTTTTTTTAAGTTATAAATTAATCTTTATTTTCAAGGATTGTTCAACCTTTTGATTACAATGATTATTTAAAATGGAAATCAAATGAATCTTCTAATGATAATGATGATAATAATAATAATAATAGCAGTAGTGATAATAATAATAATAATAATAATAATAATAACAGTAATAGTAGTGATGATGAAAATACACTTGGTGAAAATTACAATTAATTGTCCTTTATTTTTTTTATTTTTATTCAACTAATTAATATTTTTCAATAGATTTACAAATTAATAATAATAATAATAGTATTAATAATCATAATGATGATATAAAAAAGTCTAATGACAATAACAGCAACAACACTGATCCTACTAATAGCAACAATGATTTACAATATCCAAAAACCTTTCAACAAATATGTGAGATGATTGCTAAAGGACAACCAATTCCAGGCAATAACTATTAAAGTCATTGAAGTTAATTTTATCAATTAATAAATTCAATATTAATTATCATCATCATCATCATCATCATCATTATTAGGCATTAGAACGATACCTAATAGAATCAATCAAGATCCTCCAACTTCTTCAAATCTCAAACCAAAACCAAAACCTTGGGAAAAAAATTAAGATTGCATACATTTATTTATTTACATTACTGGGAGACCCAAACTAATTCACGTCCTCTTATTCGATATTGTCACATTTTGAAAGTATTGTGCTTGAAAAATAAATAAACAATTTAATTTTTTATATTGAATGTAACGAACCAATAATACAAATTTATTTATTTATTTTTTATTCGTCGTGTAAAAAAAAGTAACATTGTACAATTGTAACGATAATTTTTTTTGTCAAACTAAGTGTGCATTGTCAAATAAATTAAAACACATTCACTTTTACTTTCGAAAATAATAAAAAAAAAAATTTTTTTATAATAAAATTGTTATTTTTAAAATTTAATACCAACAACATTAATAACTAATTAATTATACTCAATATGACGACTATTGCTGAACCTCAAAAGGTACATTAATTTTTTATTAAAAAAATAATTCCACCTGTTTATAACGTAACTTAAAGTAATCAATCATTCAGCGATACATTATTAACCTTTAATGACAACATTAATAGGTGACTCTCAATGGCTATGTAGGGTTTGATAGTATTACTCGACAAATTGAAAAGAAGTTACTTAAACGTGGTTTCCAATTCAATATTATTGTAGTTGGTAAGTTTGTTATTTGTTGTTATTGTTATATTTTTTTATTTTATTAACAAGAAATTTATAGCTAATCTTTTATTTAAATATTATTAGGACAAACTGGACTTGGTAAATCAACCCTTATTAATACTATTTTTGCTGCACATTTAATTGATAGTAAAGGACGTACTAGTGCTGAAGAGCCTTTTAGACAAACCACCGAGATTCAAACAGTATCACATTGTTAGTATTAATCTAACAAATCTTATTATTTTTAGTATTTAGGATTTCAGAATTAAATTTTTTTTTTAATGATTGTTAAAATAGTAATTGAAGAAAATGGGATTCGTTTAAGATTGAATATAGTTGATACTCCTGGATATGGTGATCAAGTCAACAATGAGAATTGGTAAAAAAATTATAAATAGGATCAAAAATACTTTTTACTTTTCCAGGATATTATAAATCTAATACATTTGTTGATATTATTTAAATTATAACCATGGTTACTAGTTGGGAACCGATCATCAAATATATTAAGGATCAACATAGCGCTTACTTACGTAAAGAGCTTACTGCTACACGCGAAAGATACATTCAAGACACCAGAATTCATTGTTGTTTATTTTTTATTGCGCCAACTGGGCATGCGTATGTATAATACCATGTTTAATTTTATTTTATCAAAAGTAACATTTACTAAAATCTATCTCGTTTTTTTCTCAAAGACTTAAACCAATTGATATTGTAGTACTTAAAAAACTTTCCGAAGTTGTCAATGTAGTTCCTGTTATTGCAAAATCGGATTCTCTTACAATGGAGGAACGTATTAATTTCAAAGAAAGAGTAGGTCATTATTTCATAATCTAATAATTATGTGTCTTAAATATCGAGTATTTTATAAATTATCATCATCGTCATTTTTATTATAGATAAAGTCAGAATTGGCTTTCCATAACATTAAATTATATCCATATGATAGTGATGAACTTGATGATAAGGAGAAAGCACTCAATGAACGTATCAAGGTAAATTTCAAGAGTAATTAATAATTAAATAGTTCCATTAAAAGTAAATTCATTTTTTTCACAAACCTTTTTCCCACCACATCATTTATTTAGCAAACAATCCCATTTGCGATTGTTGGTTCTGAGAAAAATGTTGTAATTGATGGCAAATCTGTTCGCGGACGTAAAAATAGATGGGGTGTTATTAATGGTAAATTGACTCTATCAATATATATATATATATACATATACATACATATATACATATGGTTTAAATAACATTATTTTACTTATTTCAATTAGTTGAAAATGAAAATCATTGTGAATTTGTTCATCTTAGAGACTTCCTTACGAGGTGAGACTTCAAAAATAATTTTTAAATTAAAAATAATTGACTAAAAACAAATAATTAATCAAAAAATAAATAAATAGAACTCATCTTCAAGATCTTATTGAAACCACTGCTCAAATTCACTATGAGGCATTCCGTTCTAAACAATTATTAGCTTTGAAAGAATCTAGTTCTAAACAGAATGAACAACAACAATCATCATCACAAGCTCCACAATCACCTGTCGAATCTAGTAACTCTGTTATTTAAATTTATTAGTTAGATGGGTAGTTAAAATGTTAAAAAAATAAATAAATAATAAATTAGAATTAATTTGGGGCAAAATATTTTTTTAGATTATGAATTTTAGATTTTTGTATTTTTTTAAATTTATTTTGAATTTAGTTTTAATTAATATTTTAATTTTATAATTTTATTTTTATTCTATTTAATATTATTAATAAGTTAATCACTAATAAATATTTATTTTGTGTTTATGTGAATATTAATCAATTATCACGTAAACATGACTTCAATCAGGTTTAGTAATTAATCGAGTGATTCCAATTTAATTGTCATGATCAAAGTTTTACAATAATTGCTACTACTTTTTTTAGAAAAGTATATTTCAAATTGAAAGATGGAAATGTTAATAAAATGTATCAATCCTGAAATCCATAATAATAGAGACATATTAGTTGATACTGATGCTTTATATTTTATGTGCTGAACAATTGAATCAGTAGGAGTAACAACAATTCAAATATTCAGAGCTGAAAGAGAAACTTAGTGGTGGAAGCATTTAATATTAATAAAGTCACCACCCAAGATCGAATCTTTGCTTGATCTGCAGAAGGTTGTTAATAATAATAATTAAGATAATATTAGCGAAGAATGGTTTACATATTGATTTGAATGGATGCAAGATATTGTTTAGGTTGGATCCTGGAAGGAGAGATCTGTTTGTAGCAGTGAGTTCAAATAAAAAAGCTGTGGGTTGTTCAAACGAGAAATACCGGAGCTTGGCAGGGTTAGTTCATGCTCGCAAAAAACGTGAGATGAGCTATATTTAATTTATATCCAATTTACAGATAATAAATAAGAAATCATATTATTTGCATACCTAATGAACCCAATGAACCTTAAAGGTCCAACATCTGCTGTCATTAGTGTCTATGAATATGATTCTTATCACCTATTTTATCTTGATGTAATCCTTGACTTCTATGTTAGCGTTATTTGCAATAAAAACCAAAGATCAATAACAGAAAGCCTTTGATGCTTTGTGCAAGAGAATAACAGATGGTAATCCTAGTACACTAGTAGAATTTGACGATGGTAAATTCCCATCAACAACACGTAGGTCCAGAAACTTCGTCATGAATTCTCTAAGCACTGCAGGGTGGGTGGTTGATAATCATCAAAATTATGCATGGATGGATGGTCTGTCAGAGTTTGCAAATCAATCTGTTCGACACATTGGAGCGAATGCTGAACATTTTTTTACGCATGAAGATTTACAATTACAATAGATCATTCATTTATAACCTGGACCCTTTCCCGATTTAGTGTAACAAGTAAATTAAACACAATCAAAATCAAAAATTTATCATTTATTTAAAAAAAAAAATGTTTAATCCGTTTCGAAAAGTTATTATTAACACGCTAACTAAAGCTAATTTATCAAAAAACCACAAATATTATAAACTAGTTCGTTATTACAAAAAAAGTTCAAGCCCAATTTCTGATGTGAAAACCATTGAAGAACTTGAAGATATTACTTCATACAACAGAACATCACCAACTTTGAGTGCTTTTGCAGAACGCTTAAAGATAAAATTTTCAGATCCAAATCTCCTCATACAAGCAATTACTCATGAATCATACGAAGATGAAAATTTTCCTTCGAATTCAAAACTTGCAATTTTAGGTATTTTTATATTATTGATGTTGATGTGTATAATAAAATAACATTTTTGATTTTCTTTCCTTTTTAAAAAATTTTTTTACTTATTAGGAAATAATTCACTTGGTTTGTATGTTACCGAATATTTTCATACGAAATATCCGCTTGTACCATTACAATATCTACAAAAAATCATTTCTTTGTATTGTGGAGTTGATACTTTAGCTACCTTTGGTCAAGAAGTTGGACTACAACATGTTGTACGTTTTAAAAAAGTGAGTACCAAGGCAACAACAAAAAACTATGATTTATCGTTAATTTCGTTACTTCATTTAATATCTTACGCGTTAAATTTTAAATTTAGACAACACAAGAAGAAATATATAATTTGGATCAATCGGATAAAGCATATTTAGAAAAAAAAAAATCATGGATGAAAACCAGTTTAAGACTTACAGTTACTAATTCTTTAAAAGCTATAATTGGTGCTTTATATTTAGATAAGGTTTATATGTTATGTCTCTCTTTGATAATTAACGTATTAATGAATCAGATCAATTAATAAATTATTTAAAAATTTTTTTTGTATTAGGGGCCTGATTCAGCTAGAAAATTTATTCATGATTATTTGTTAACTAGAGATATAAATGTGCTTGATATTTATGACGTTAAAGAACCAAAAAGAGAATTATCAGCTTTGATGAAAAAATTAAAAAGAGAAAGTCCAATATCTAGGTTTTGATTAAGCATTTTACCTTTTGCTATTATTTTATAATGGAATTTAATCATAATAGAACAAGTTATCACTGGTTAGGTATTCACAATTACACATTATTAATTCAATTTATCGTCCTTTTGTAGATTGATATCAGAAACAGGTAGAAAATCAAACGCACCTGTATTTATTATTGGTGTATATTCTGGAATAGATAAAATTGGTGAAGGATTTGGAAGTAGTATAAAAATGGCAGAATTTAGGGTTAATTTATAATATTTTTATTTTGTGATGATTGTCACTCTTTAAAATTATTTGTGTATTTGTAATAATGACAATTATTATTATTATTATTATTATAGGCATGTAAAGACGCTTTAGAAAAATATTATTTTCAAGAGATAAAGGATTTTACACTACCTTCAACTATAAATACTTCCCATGAAGAAAAAAAGTATTTACCAACAAAAATTGGTGACACTCCTGCAAAAATTTGAAAAATAAGCAAATAAATATATTTTTATATAAAATTTTCAACTTGTTTTAATATTTATGATACAAAATAAAATACAAAAAATAAGAGATAAAGGCTATAAAAAAAAAAAAAAAATTCTTTTATATAGGAAGTAATAATTTATTACACGGTCAATATTTATTCAAGAATCAAACCTAAAAAATAGATATATATGTAATAAAATTGTCTAATGAAATTTGCATTACTATTACGTTAATTAAGTTCAATTAATGGTGCTTCTTCAAATTTTTGAGATTGTTGTTGATGTACGATTAAATGAGAAGAATCATTTTGTTGGTAATCTGGGTTTTGTATTTGAGTATATCTAAATGTAGAAGTTATATATATTTTTTATAAATCGATAAAATATAAAATATAAAAAATGAAAAAAAAAAAATGAAAAAATTATTTACCCAGAATTAGGTTCGAAAATTGGTTGTGGTAAATAAGAAACATTATTTTGCGGTAAAAAATTTTGAACATTGATCGCTGCTGATGATTGGGGGGATAACGATGCATTATAATCATCATTAATAACACCATGATCATTGGTGATAATATTAGTTGAAATGGGTAAGAATGTTTGATTTGGAAGATGTGCATTTGAGACATACGGAATTTGTTGTGATTCTAATTGTTGATTAAGAACTGGAGCTATTTCTAATGCATTAGGCTGCGTATATTGTGTGAGAGGTGTCTGTGCAAAGATATAGGCTGAGGAGGGTGAAGGTGCTGAAGCTAAAGGATATGTCGGGTTTTGAGGATACGAATTAACTGAAGAAAGAGATGATGATGGTTGTTGATAAACTATTCCTGCGTTGGATGATACTGGTGAAATAATTCTTTGTGTACCAGCATAGTTAGAGGCACGACGTGAATATGTGTTAGACATCCTATCCTCCAAAAGTTGATCATATAATTTGATAACTTGAGATAATTTTTCATGCATTTCCATGAGATCCTCTATAAATTAAATATTATATTAATAAATTATCTTGAACCTATTTTATTTTTAAAAAAATTATACAAATCAACTTACGATGCCTTTGTATTGTTTCTGTCAAGTTCTTTGTTAGCTTTGGCTTTAATTCACCAATCCTATCATATAATTCCTAATCAATAAAAGAAAAAATCGAAGGTAAGAAATCTTTTTAATTGGTCGAATAAGCATATCATATGGAGCCAAAAAACCAAAGTAATAATTAACTTGAACTTGTCGATCTCTTATCAAATCTGAGCCACTTTGTTGTATTTTTTCAAGTAAATCTGAGAATTTATAAATGTTATCTGCTTCAATTTGTGATAATTCGTTTTGATCCTTTGGCACATCAAAAGGATAGGCAGATGATGATGATTGATGATCATATTGTGTTTGAGTTGAATATTTGGGTTGATCGATCTTTAAGTCTTTAAGGGATGCTGCAATAGCTGCAGCCAAATCATCGTCCATTTCTTCCTCCTTTATATATTTAACAGGGAATAAAAAAATGAGTATATTTAACAATCTTAAATGAAGGTAGATGTGTATCGAGTATTATATATATATATATACAAAATAAGAGTTGCCTACCTGTTTATTAACAGGTTCTGATGTTTTTACTACTTTTTGTTGTTGCTGTTGCTGCTGCTGTTGCTGCTGCTGTTGCTGCTGCTGTTGTTGATTAGATTGTAAATAAACTCCTCGAATATTATTTTTATGATTTTTAGTTTCTTTAAGAGAAAGTTCTATCGCTTTTTTAAAGTCCTCATCCTCTTCATCGCTTCCTTGAGATGTATGAGTATCATTTCCATTTGTTGTTGCAGAATTTGAATGTAAAGTTGAAGCTGGACCATTTAAAACAGGTTTTAAATCCGCGAGATCAACACTAGCACTGTAAATAATCAAAATTTTGTTCCGATTAATGAGAAAATACATAAAGCTTTAATAATTTTTAATTTTATAATCTTACCTTTTAGCTTTTGACTGTTTTTTCATAAGGCAGGCGTCACAAACTCTTACTGGTTCGTTTATACCAATGCTAGGCAATGGAGTTGATTTAGAAGAACATTCACCACAGAATGTTTTACCACAATTTCTACAATGATGCTAAATATGATAGGTGAAATGGATAAAATTTTTGTTCAGTTAAAATTTTATTAAATTCAATTTTAAATTTTAATCTAATCAAAATTAGAAATTTACTTTTCTGTTTAATAAAGTAAATGGAGTTCTGCATCTAACACAGAAATCGCTGTCAGACCATTCTGGTGGCTATGGAAAATGATTATAAAAAATAGAATTTTTGACGTTATGATTATGAAAATACTTGTAAATTTTATTATTAATCTTAAAATAAAAATTTCCTACTGTGGCAGTATCAATCATCATAATTGATGTGGATTTATCGACTTTTGGAAATACATAACCTATCAATAAATAATAAATAATAAATACAAGCTTTTTTTTTTTTTTTGATGTGGAAAGGAATTTCCGATAAATTTGAAAATATCCAAGATAAATAAATAATAAATTTTGTTTTTACCTTCATGTTTCAATAGTCGATACGTTTCAGTTACATACACGAGTTCAGGTTTTCCTTCAAAAGCCAAAGCCCATGTTTGAATTAATCCAAGAAGTTTTTCTTTAACATCATTATTAGATGTGCTCTATAATAAAATCCACAATGTTTATGAATTATTGTTTTTTTTTATATTAAAAAAAAAAATCGCAAGTTATAAAACAATCAACGTACAGCCGGTGATCTTACAATTCCCAATAAACTATCAACAAACTCTCGAGATGCAACTTCAATTAAAAAATGATGCCCGCCATTTTTAACACAAGTGTCCGTTAACTAGGTAAAAGTATATAAATATTATTTTAAATTAATTTTTTTATAGTAAATAAAATAAAATAGAATAAATGATGATCAATAAATACATACGCTTAAAGCCAAAAGCTGCACGTAAGGGTTAGTGTGTGTTATTTTACGCTTAAGAGCTCTCATGGCATCTTTAGGTTGAACTTGTTTACTACGAATTTGATCACTAATTTCAAGATTTAAGGCCAAATCTTCTTGTCCTTTCTGAATAGTTTCTGATGTAGCCTTTTCTATTATTATAATAATAAAATATTGATGGTTCCTTGTAGAGAATTTTGAAATAATTTGACGAAAACTTTAAAATCAAATATGGAAATTTATAACATACCAACAGACTCGTCAAATGGATTGCTACCAAAAAGTCTTGAAACCATTTTATTTTAATTTATTTAAAATTATATGGGTTATAATTTACGAGTTAATAAAAAAATAAATAAAAAATTCAGAATACGACAATGTTTAAAAAAAGCCACCATTGTAAAACAAATTAAATTGATTGGTCTAAATATAATTACGTCATTTTGATCGGTAGAGGATCAAAAAAAAAATTTCTAGAGTACAATAATGTCCAAGCAAACTCAAAACAAAAATAAAACCAAACTCAAATCACGGTTTAATGTTCCTCGTGGCGATACCAACGGGGTTTTTAATGATGATTGGTTGTACTCGGTACTTTCTCCTAAAACAAATCTCTTACAAAGCCTGAGGAAAAATCATGATCTGATTGAGGAAGATTCATATAATTTTGTTAAAATTAAACTTTGCGATTTTGAGATATTGGATGAACAGTAAGTTGGTTGTTATTTTCATGCAGATGTTAAAAAAACTTTTATGTACGTTGTTTATACGTTAGTTAAGTAAAAAAAAAGTGATTTAATATGTAGTTTATTGTTTAATGGTTTCTTATAGCGTGATATTTATTTGATCTTTGAATTTTTTAAATCAGAGTTGGTAGATCTTTTCTTCCAAAACCTAAAGATCCTTATTCTATTGTATTGGGTGACTCTGAATCGATCCAATTACCACAATATGAAGCTTTTCCAATCCGTTAGTTGAAATTTTGAAAGTTTCCTTTTTTTTTAGTATCTTGATAAAAAACAAAAACAACAAAGTATTTATATACATGCATTCGATTTGTGTATTCTTGATTTAGATGATAAGGTTAAACATAAAGAAGGGTATATTCTTAATGTTGGTGGTTCAGTTTGGGCACTTGACTGGTGCCCCAATAATGATTCTTCCCGTAATATATTTTTAATATTTAATTAAATACAATATTATATAACAATCAATTAATAATAATTATTTTAAATTTTCTTAGAGACTCAATGTATAGCAATAGGCACATACAAGGATACAACGGAGGAATTACATCCAATTGGCCGTCGTCAAAAAGACAATTTAAATTGTGCAATACAATTCTGGAGAATGGATCAACAACAAATCGATGATGACGATGATGATGATAACGACGATGACAACGATGACGATGATAATGATCAGAAAGAAGATAAACAAGTAATTATGGATTTACCAAAGTTAGATCTAGTAATTTGTCATAATTTCGGCAGTGCATTTGATATTCAATGGACTCCTTACGGAGCACAAGACTATTACGAGGTATTTTTTTAAAAATACATGTATGTATATATATTTATGCATATGTATATTTAAAATATATTTTACACTTTATTTAGGAAGGCAAACAAGATGATTCTGTTGATATAATTCCGAAATTGGGGATAATAGCAATATCCTTTGGGTGTGGTCTTATTGGAATTTTTGCTGTTCCTCGGTCAAAATACATTAGGGATAAATTGAATTTATCTAACGACATTGAAGCACCATTATATAGTAACCATAAATGATTTTATTTTTAAAGAGCGTGTATTTAATTCCACATTCTTTATTAAATAAACCTCATCTGATAAAAAAAATATATATAGTAAAGTTTACAAATCCATTATTAACTTTGTCAATTCCGCATGTTATATTTCGTACTATAAGTTGGGGCGGTAATCAAAAAATTGCTGCTGGCTGTACAAATGGTTTGTACAAGCTACACATTAATCATCATTACATTCGAAAAAGAAAAAAATAATATATTAATGATTAATTAATTAACTAGGTGATATCGCAATATGGAATGTCCAAGAGATTCTTCAAGCAAAATTTAACAACAATATCATTGATCCTGAAGGTTATAAATACATAATATTTATTTAATTCTCAACGAATAAATATTCCCAGTTTTAGATTATAACAATTAATGTTTATCTTAAAAGTTACATCACCTATTCAATTCTTTCGCGCGCACGATTCATGCATTAGACAAGTAGTTTGGAATTCACATAATGATCCTACACATATCCTAAGTTGTGGGCATGATGGCAGATTACAAATTATTGAAAGTCGAGATCCTTGGATGAAAAATATGTTTCAACGAATTAGATGTAAATCATGTGTATTTTTTTTTAATATTACAAAAAACTTGGTATTTAACAATAATATTAACAACAGTTGGATTTTTTTTTTTTAATAGCATTTATGATGACTGCATGTTGGCCACATCATTATGGCGGAATAATTTTTCCTGATTCTGAAAATACTGTCAGGTATATTAGAATGGATGATTTAAAAAAATCTACAGGGATAATTATGCATTATGCTCCTATTTGGGTACGTAATAAAAAGATATATATAATTATTTTTTTAATAATAATAATGATTGCTGTAAATGCATTATTAGCGAATTTCTGCGTCTTATTTTCATCCTTTCATGGCAAGTTGTTCATCTGATGGTTCAGTAAAAATGACAAATATTTGCAGATTAAGAGATCGTCAACAAGTAAAATCTATTATTGCAATAATAATAATTTTATTATTTTGCTTTTAAATTTTACTGAGAAAAAATTTATTTTTTGCTTAGAAACCAATTCAAGTTACATTGTATCGAATTACTTATAATAAATTAACAAAAATTTATACGTACTGGGATAATGTCAAATCTACAGTACGTGTATATATATATATATATTATTAGTTATTAGTAAAGACTTTTTTTAAAATCACTATATGGTGATGTCAATAATTTCATTTATTAAAAATAGGAAACAACATACACAACTGTTAATGTTGATAATTACAACCATTTTTTTCAGCCAGAAGTTTCAGTTCAACATGTATGTGCTTTTAATTTTCTATATGATTATATATATATAAATGCATGTATTTATCTATTTATTGAAAAAATTACTTGATGAATTTATAAAGGTTATTTGGAATCCAAATTTTGATAGTGGTACTTGGATTGCTTCTGGTGGTTCATCAGGTTTAGTAAGGGTTGAAAATACAGATTATAAATAGTAACTATTAATAGTTTAAATAATAGTCATGTGTTATATAATTAATTTTCCAAGACAATGAACTGAATCCCCACAGATTTGTAATAAAAATAAACAAAACGAAAATGAAAAAAAACTTTTATTTGTAACCATTCATTATCCAGAGTCTTGCTTATTTATTGCAAACGAAAGAAAATCTGACTGCCGTAAACATAAAAAAATCTTGATTTGGAAATTATTTTAAACATTGACCAATCATTAAACACATTTCTTTAAAATACGGTATGACAGATTTCAATAATGCAACAGGTTTTTTTTCTCACCACTAAAGAAAGATATATAAGAACTTTGAGAAGTTTTAAAAAAATATATTTCCCAATATATAACGAACAAAATAATCAATAAAATACATAGTAAATCAATCAATAAATTCTTTAATATATAAACCTTTTTGTTTTAAATGGATTCAAGTAAATCAATCATTAAATTTTTAAATATATAAATCTTTTTGTTTTAAATAATAGATTCAAGTAAACATGAATCCAGCTAAAAAAAACAAAATTGACATGGATGTAAGTTATCTAATTTTACGCTGTTTTTAGAAAATTAATTTATAATGAAAAAACACACTTAAAAATATATTTGTTTAATTTTGTAGAAACTCACTGAGGATGAAAAAAAACTGTTTCGTATGTATGGAAGATTACCTACAAGAAAAGACATTTTAAGTCATAATTCGAAGGTACAACAACAATATTAAAAATATATATATATATATAAAACATTGACAACAAGTATCATATGATGAAATGTTGTTTTTGAAAGAAGTTAATAATTTCTTTTTTTTTTTTTTTTTTTTTTTTTTTTTAATCAATAAAGAATTAATGGTTTTTAATTTAAATTTAAATTAAAATATATTTTCTCATCATTATTTAATATTATTCATACATCTCGACTTATACTCACACATAACTTGTTAACACGGTATATTATTATTATACGCAGGAACGTAAATATTTTGATTCTGGAGATTATGCACTTTCCAAAGCTGGAAAAACTATTGGGCCTGTTGGAGTTCAACATCCATCACCTGAAACTATTCCTCATGCTATTTCTCCCACGACACATAACTCTTCACCAGTGAAAGAAAGTTCTTTGGTTTACGAAGCAGAGATTGAGGAAAAGGCATCTGACAATGGTAGCGAAGTTGAATCACAATCTATCAAAAAAAATCCTTTTAATGTTGGTGATAACACCACCTCCAAATCCACCGATACAAGCACAACACCAACAACAACACCAACCACACCAAATATTCCTCCAACACCAAATTCAACACCAAATTTTTCCAACAGTCCAACACCTTCAGAAACTGAATCATGAAAAAGTTACAAGCTCATGATTTAAAATGAAAAATAAAAGTAAAATAAAATTTTAATTTAAAAAATTTAAAATTTTATTTTTATCGTTCGATATTATTTTTAATATTATTTTTGATCCACCAAAATTTTGTTATTTCGTTGTAATTATCATTTAAGAAGTTTATTTTATTTATATATATATATATATATCTTTATTTATTTTTTTTTTGATTAAAAAAAATAGTGATAAATCAGAACAAACATTCGCAATATTTTGTAATTGATAAATTATAATGGCAAAAATCATTATCTTTTTTTTCAAAAAATAAATTAAAAATGTAGAAATCAAAAGTAAAAAGAATGAAAAAAGTGAGAGCGAGTGATTTTAATGAACATGTTCTCGTCATTACTACTATCTGATAATCAAAGATCACATGATAGTCATCAAGTAATTTACTTAAAATAATTGGTTAATCTAGTTTTTAAATGATTGATCGATAGATAGCTTTAAATTTATAATATTGGTTTTGGCCATTGTTTCCAACTATTCTCGTTAAAACTTGTCAGAAACTTGTTGTTGAATGAATGAAAATAAAATAAATAACCTTTGTTATATAATAAATAATAAAAACTAAACAATTAATTCACGCACGATTATCTGTCTGTATATATTTGTATAATCTAAGTGGACGAAAAAAAATAAGTATTTCTAAAAATGGCATATTATAATAATTCATTTGATCAAAGTTCTCCATTATTTATCACACAAAAAATGTAAAAATATAAATGAATGGACAAAATTACAAGTTTTTGGTTACGAGTTCAAGCTTTTTGAATTTCTCCAAAAAGTATATTGATTGTAAGAGCTTTAATTAGCTTAGGCTATAAGATCGTATTACAACAACAATTATCACTATCGTTATCAAAATTTAAAATATTCCACCTCGGAGTGGTACAAATTTCCAAAATTCTTTATTATTTTAATAAAATCACAAAAAACAATAGCAACCAATGTGAACAAATAAATGTAGATCACAGCTTATTAAAACATTTACTTAAATAGAAGAAACCTTCTGTTTAGAATTTCTACCAACTCACTGTTTATTATATATATATATATATATATACACTGGCTTAATCTATTCCTCCTACTATACATTGTGTAACGCGATCTACATGCGCACATTCCATAATCAAAAAAAATATATAATAATTTTCTTTAACATTCATAAGTTGATTTTTCCATTTTTTACTTTCCCAATGCATCTTTTATATGCTAAAATCTTTTATTTCCAGTTCATTTAAATTTTTTTGTAAATGGTTTTAATTACACGGATTTTTGTTTTCTGCACAAATTTTTAGTCATACGGATACCGTGAAACGTGATACGCGCCCATTCGATTTTTCTCACCGCTTTTTGCTATCAATCAATCAATCAATCAATCAATTCTGCTACTAATTAATCAATCCTAATCACAAATCCACCTCCTCCACACCATCACCAATTCGAAAATATGGTTTCAAGCACAGCCACCTTTTTCGTTAAAACGTGGATACATCTCTAAATTAAATTTGAGGCTGTGGATAAAAAATAATCCAAACATAGTCGTTTATTTGTTAATCATAAAAGTTTTAAATGATTTAATGATGTAATCATAATGCATATATATACAGCATCATTATTTAATATTATATAATATATTCAATATATATATATAATATCACTCCATCATTCAAAATCAATATATTCAATATCATATATATATATATAATATCACTCCATCATTCAATCAACGTATTAAATATCATATATATATATATCATTCAATATCGTGTATATATATATCTATATTATATATATTGAAAATTCATTTTTAATTAGTTAGTTGCTTTTTTGGCAATTTAAATATTTAAGTTTAACTAAAATATAAACATATATTCACAATTACACACATACGTAAGTATTCTTACATCTTTCTCTCACACGTCAAATGATGTTTATTAAATAATAATTTTTCTAAATTTGGTAAGTTCACAAATAATTTTGGTCTAAAAATAAATTGATTTTGTGACAAATAAAGTCTTTGGAAAAATAAAAATCCTATTTTCGTTAATGTGATGCAATACCCCAATTTATTATTATTATTAAAAAAAAAAATTTATGCTTAAAAATGAAAATACACGGCTTAAGCTATACAGCATAAACCTTAACACAACATCATTATGCGTAAAATAAATAAATAGATAAACATAATAGTAATTTGATTGTCCCATTCATGTGCGAAAACAAACAAAAACATTTTATAATTACATAATTTATTTATTTGTAAGAATTTTAACGCCTTCGTTACACTTGTATAAATTCATTGATTAAAAAATCACGCGATTTCTATCTATTATTTTAACGATATAGAAGAATTTTTTTACATATATTTTTTGACTACACATTAATTAAACATATTAATAAACATATTAATAAACATATTAATATACATATGATAATGTACAAAAATTATATTCTAAAGAATATTCTATTTTAAAGCAATTATAGAAATAATATAAATATAGTATGTATTTATGTATTTATGTATTTATGTATTTATGTATTTATGTATTTATGTATTTTATGTATTATATATTTTTTACATATATTATCTACATACATAAACAGGGTTTCGTAAAAATAAATCTAGATAATAAAGGAAATAACCTTAATTAAAAATAATAAAAATAAACCGTTTTGTAATAGTTGATTATCACGTTAAAAAATCAATCAAGACTTTTTTTATCGTTCGCGCTTTTTATTAAAGATGCTAAAAGATGTGTATTTAAAATGCACATTAATTCGGTGTATGTATACGATATTGATGATGACAACGATGTAATACAAAACAAACTGCCATATTGTTACCGTGTGGTCTAAATGTATTTATAATTCTTGTGATCAAACAAAATAAATATACAACAATACCAAGTTATCAATTCTAAAACCGCAATCATTGGTTTTCTTTATATGGATAGGTGGACGGATGGAAGTTTTAGATTGAGAGTTTGTTGTTAGAGGTGTGTATGTGTGTATGTGTGTGCGAATAAATTTATAAATAAATAGATTGATATAAACCTTTTTTTTTTTGATCTTGTAAATAAATCGTTCGCGAACGTTTTAAATCAAGAAAAATTAAAAATATCGTAATATTTTTAAATTGTGATTATTTTTAAAAAAATAAACCAAATAAATAGCGTTTTTAAATAACATTTATCTATTTTTAGTCAAACATAATAAATAAAGACCCCAAAAATAGATTTCTATCAAAAAAAAATTTTTACAATTATTTAAATTTATTTGAATTGTTTGCATATAAATAAATAGTTCGTTTTTGATTTTCAAAATTTCGAAATATAAAAAATTTTTATGAACGTAAACGTTAACATTAATAAACGTTAACACTAATTAATATCAATTTTTTACGCGGCAAAAAATTTATTAATCGATTATTATATTTAAATGTTTTATTAATCAAAACCTTTCTTGCAAACTATATCAATTAAATAATAATAACGATAATAACGATAATAATAACGATAATAATAATAACAATCACAACTACTATTACCAATAACGACAATAATCAATAGTGAATGATTATGACTAATTCAAAAAGAAATAATCATGCTTCATCAAAAAAATTTGGATTGATGCAACAAGGTCAACAAAAAATCAAATTAGATATCAAAAAGCCTCGTTCGATCCTACCACCTTTGGAGTTACCTTACCCACCAAAAATTGAATTAGATAGTGTTGTGGCTAAACTTGTATCCAAACCAAAATTGGCACGTTTCCCTAATGCCTTTATCATGTATCGCAATGAATATGTTCAATATTTAAAAGCTAAAAATATTCATCTATCGATGACTGAATTGTCTCCCATGGTCGCAGCATCTTGGAAGAGAGAACCCGAATTTGTAAAAGATACCTATACTCAATTTGCTGGTGAGGCTGAAAAATTGTATATAAGAGCAGCTGCTTGTCAACAGCAACAAAGGATATACAAATTTCAAACAAGTCTATTACCACCACCACCACCACCAACTCTTCCTCTTCCTCCTTTACCATCACTATCACCACCATCACCACCACTACCATCATCTCTTCATTTTCCTCCTTTACAATCACCTTCATCACCACCTCCACCGTCACTATCACCGTCATCATCATCATCATCATTACCACTACATCCTTCTATTCATGGCTCGCTAGAAAATTTCGTACAATTAGATGATGAATTTTTTTGTAATTATATGGATAACAATGATCACCAATATCATGACGATCATCAACAACATGATCATCATACTATACATTCAATAATAAATTCAATTAATTCACCTGAATCTTCTCCGGTCATGTTTTCTCCAGCCACATTTGATGATGAATCCAGTCAATCGTCATCACCGCCAGATTTCAATCAAGATATTATTAATCATCATAATCATCATCACCAAGAGATTATTATTGGTGATCCAAATCCAATCATAACAACAACTACAACAAATAATGATAGTTTATTGTTATCTAACATTGAAAGTGATTATTCATACCCTAACAATGTTATAAATAATAATTCGTTTTGTTGTACTCATTCCAATAATCACCCTCCTCATTATTTTGTCGCTCGTTTTTTTGACGATTGAGTTTATTATATTCATTACAAATATTTTTCTCTCGTTAAACAAACTAACTAATTATTTTGTATAGAATTGTCATTTTTTATTCATTTTCTTTTGTTAATATATTTATTATATCTCCTTAAAATGTAAATGTTAAGTTTGTTTGTTATTGTTAGATATATATTATTAAGTAGTTATAGTTATAAACATACAAATGTACATATTACATATAACAATTTATAAAACATATACAAGTATTAATTGTATGTTTTTCTTTTATGATTATTACTTTTAAAATACGTATAAATAAAAAAAATTTTTTAAATCCATGCTGCGCAGTACGACCGAATTTTTAGCAAAAAAAAATCATATAATAATTTTTTGTATTAAAAAGTTAGAGAGACCCCCTACCTTACTTAATAGAGTTGAAGTTTGCACAAATAATAAGAGGTCTAAAGATATTATTTTTGCTTTTTCCTGTGCCAAACTTGTTTGCTGCTTGATTATTTTTGTTAATTGTTGCCCCTTGCAATTTTTAAGTAAGCCAAATGTATATTTTTGGTTCTCTCTTATTCTCATTCTGTTCAATATTTCTTTTAATATTAAATTCAATTTGTCATATTGTGATAATCGAATGTTGATCGAATCATTAATATTGAATACCAAAATAAAAAAATGCATTTCTTCCACTATATACCTAAGTTGTTTGGTGGATCTAAAGGAAATAATTGACGAGGATAGCATTCTGACAAAAGATGAACTTGTCAAAGGCCGAAAATGCCATTTGGAGTACCAATAACAATTGCAGAGTTGGCAAGGTTTCATGTAAACACAGAGTTCTGCATTCGAAGATACAAACCTTTTGTTTCCTGTTTGATTACGTAAACCTATGCAGGGTTCAAAATCGGCCAGCATTATGTCGAAATATTGGCAATTCTGGTAACACTTCCGCATAATTCTGGTCAATTTTAAGCCCTACGTAGGTTTACGTAAGATTATTTTTCTGATGCTTACTGTAACAATCTAGAAAAATCGGTAATAAACTTGGGTGGAATTTTGCTTTTACTGGTTCAACCCCCGCGCGAGTTTGAAGACTTGCCATCAAACTTTTTTATTCTAGCAACATATTATGTTGCAAAAGCTCTCATGCTGAAATTGGTGCTGAATTTATGAAACAAGCGCTTGTTCAGACAATGAATGTTCTGAAGAATCTTCTTATACAACAAACGAAACTTTTTCAGCTTACTAAGAGTGTATGTGTGGTACCTTCCTGGTTTTGAATGACAAGACACTGAAACTATGACAACAGTATTTGATATAATGTTCACTTTCAAGCGGTCAAGTAAGTAGACAATTCCATCCGTCTAACTGAAGTTAAACGTTTCCGGTGTGTGGCACAAAACTTAGCCGAGTTAATTTGTATATGTTTAGCTGCATTTATTATGTAGGAGAAATAGACCAATATTAAACGAAGATCATTTGGAGTATGTCTATGGAAGGCATGTGTTGATCATGATACTGGATTCCATCGGCGTAACATTTTAACCATACTTATATAGTATTTTATCAATGTCAATGGACCAGACCAAAACTTATTGGTCTCAATTGACCCTGTCTATTTCCAACCCTGGTCTACAGTGAGCACAAAAGGTTTACGGTATTAATTTGAGACAAGAGGTAGACTTGGTGTGACAGAGGAGGAGAATATATGGAATTTATAACAAGATTTTAATAGGTACATCGTGATTAATTACATTCAAATTTTTTACAAACCATATTTTATTTTACAATGTCGTTAGTTTTTGCAACCCATCAATGCTCACAGTCTCCAATCTTTTATACCCTTCTAAAACCGCACTGGAAATTTTTAATTGGAATCAAGGATTTACAGTTTTTCCAATGAGAGAGCTCGACTCATTGCAACATACACTTGTCCTTCAGCAAACATATTTTTGTCAACGTTCAACCTTGAGTTTTATGAACAGTCAGAGAAAATGCATGAAATTGATTCCTTGATGCCTTCTTACCATAAACTTCAAAACAAAACGTTTCTCTCTGAACAATAACCTCAACATTCTCTCCATCACGAATTTTATTACATATTTTTCACCAAATATAATAAGCATCAGGAGAGAGAACCTTTTTCGAAGAAAGCTTTGTCAATTCCTTCAACAATATTTTTTTTTCACATTTTCAAAAAGGCGTGGTTCAATATTAATTAAAATGATAATAACTAATTCCGGCGTTTTTCAAAACGGTTTTAATATTAGAAGAAAATAATAATAATATCAATTCCCGAATCGTTACGTTTTTTTCAAAAAAGGAATGGCCGTTTTAAATATTAGAAATAATAATAATAAATAATAAAATCAATTACAAATTGTTACGTTTTTTCCTCCAAAAAAGGCAAGACCTTTTCAAAAAAAGCTTGGTTGATTTCCTTTAATTAATATTAATAATAACGAATTAATTACAAATTGTTGTTTTTCTAATTTCTTATTAGCAACAGGAAAGAAACCTTTTCAAAAAAAGTTTGATTGACAATAATGAATTAAATTCAATTGTTTCTTCACATTTTTGGAAAAGGCTTGATTTTAATTAAAAATAATACAGATCACCCCCGTTATAAGAACGCTCGCTGTAGTGACATTTTTTCAAAAACAAATCTTTACAAGTATAAAATTTACTCCCGTTATGGTGACATCCATTATAAGGACATGTCAATCAAATACCACCAATAACTATGACAAATTTATTAATAGATAACGATAAATTCTGATAATGTTTAATGTTTTCAAATTACTAATATTAAATCAAGTTTATTTTTATTAACACAACAAAGTATTTATTATTTTCAAATTCAATGATGATAAGGTTTCTTTGTGTTTTTGATTGATCTCTTATTAACAATAAAGAAAAATTTTAAATTGTTTTTTTTTTTGATGATTATGAAGTACCTACACTTTCAAAAAAGACAAAGAGATTGATTTGTGATGAAGTATCTTTACATTTTTAACAATAAAGAAAATTTATTCCTATATAATTGTTTTTTTTTTAGTGACGTTTTCAAATTGTTTTTTATATAGCCTTTTTTATGAATCACATGATTTTCATGAACTTCCATTATAAGGACATCTCGTTATACGGACATTTTTTGCGTGTCCTTATTATTTATAATGGTAATGATCAATTATCGTTAAATAAATTGTTTCCCCCAAAAATAAAAATAAAAATAAGAGGTTCTTTGTACAATACCATGCGCCTTCTTATTAATACTTTTTATAATAAGAAAATGCCAACGACAAAACAAAAAGAAAAAGAACTAAAGAAACGGCAACAAGAAATGAGTAAGTATTACCAGAGCAGGATTCTAATAAGATCATTAAGGGAAAAAATGGTGATGGTGATTATTGATCTGAAACACATCGTTCTAGTTGCCAAATTAGCAACAATTTGTAAATCAATTCAATCGGTCGGAATAGATCATATCGTGCGTGCGTGAATGATAAAGAAAGCGAAGATGGCTTGACTCAACTAATTAAGGCACAAAATAAAATAGAGGAATTAAAAATCATTAGTAACAATGTGGAAGAGTTGGTGGATGATGATATTATCGTCTGTACTACTTACTTTATCAAATAATATTAAAAAAACGATATCACGATCATTCAAGCAATGGAAAAATAGTATAGAACATACATTAACACCAACTTGAAAATTTAAAGACATTATTGTTTTTTAGATTATTTGAAGATGTTTCACTTCTAAATATCGAATGTATATTTTTACGTGTTGACACCAGGCTTCCATCAGTATTGCAGTCTGATTTGTCTCAATTTAAAATCTTTGTGGATGTAATTTGAATCAATTTCACAATATTGCAAAAATCTAATAGAACTATTGATATGTTATAGACAGGAGTTAATTAGAAAGGATTGGATTTAGAAATGATGGTAATAGTGTAAAAATCAGTTGCAATCAAATTTTTCAAATGATGCCAAGCAAATTGGTGAATAATGGAAAAGGGCTGAACAGCAAAATATTATTATTGAACGTATAACAAAATATCAAGATTCAGGAATTTTAAACTAAATCATATTTTTTAATTTATTTATAATGCTTACTGCTCATTAAAGTGTATATATTTATTAAAGATTTACTATTCATTATGCAATAATAATGATTTATCATAAACCTTTTAGAAAAATGACATTTTCACTATTGCTATAAATTCTCTATGGAAAATGGAAAATCACCAAAAATTACATTGAATTCAAGTCGTGACTACTTTTATATCTTGTAATAATCTATTTTCATCATTATCACGCAATAACATTGAAAAAGAATTTGACAAAGAAACCAACAATTTTCGATCTGATGAAGGATAATGATGATGATGATATGATTGTTCTTCACAAGAACACAAACATGATAAATATGGATCTGAATATTGATGAGTCAAATCAATCAAATTATTATTATCAAGAACGTTTAGAAACACCGCCACAAATACCAGAATCATCATGGCCCCAAAACGAACAGATTCACATATGGGACGTTTCACAGCAAAAACCACCTCTGGGGTCATCTGACCAAAATTGAGCTTTTACATAATATTGATCTATAATATATAAATTATAATTGATGAAAATATTAGACCCTATTTGCTTAATAAAAAAACGGGGAATTCGCAACAGATATCTTCTTTAAAGTAATTTGCACAAAATAATAAATGATCTGCACACCCCATTTTATTGTTACACACAATAATGGTTATACAAAGAGTTGAATACTCGTTACTATATCACTTTTATGTTCATATTTAAAGTGGGAAAATTAATTATGTGGTTTCCACTTTCCTCCAAAATCAAAAACAATAGATTATTATCGATTTTATTGATTCATAGATGAAGTTATAATTTCATCGTAATCAAGTATTTCATCTTAATCACTTTCTTCGTTACTCAAATTTTGTATATCATCTTCGTCAGAAAAGCAATTATCGGTAAAACAAAAATGACCTTTATAAAAAACGTAATTTTTTCTAAACGAATATTTGTTTTTCTTAATTGAAAAAAATTGCTAATACAGAAACCAATTCCAATTTCCTAGTTCATTAATTGCATCAACAAGTGCTGTGTTGACTTAATTTTATTCCACATCTTTGCTGCAAATTTCGAAAAGGTCTTTTTTTCTATATTATGTTCTTTGGGCTTATATTTTTATAACTTTTAATTGCAGTGATGCAATGAAATAGCACCAAGCAATTACTATTTTTTTCGGGATCAATTTGTTCATTAATTAAATTTTTTAGTAATCTTTCATTTATATCCTTCAGGTAATATATAACAAGAACCATTATCAGTTATTATATTAAATGGCATATGTCTAGAGATCGTGAATTGTGGAAGAATTTTTGTTAGAATAATTATTTGCATAACTATTATTTTCTAGTTATTGTTAACCTAGCAATGAAGAATTGTAAAAATGCTTCAATGTCTACTAAAATGTAATTGCTTGTTTTGAATCCATCTTAATTGAATGATTAATTGATTTTAAAATAATTCAAATATGTAAGAGAAGAAGAAAAATTAGAATTTGTTTAAATGGATTGTTGGTTTTGTTTTGTACTTTTATTTGCCGTTGAATTAAATCATTTCGTGAATCATTTTTGTTATCTATATTCAATATTTGATTCTACATTTATTAAAATAATAATCAACAATATTGATTGTTTCCTTTTAGATTAGAATTTTTTGTTTTTCCATTCACTAATGTGTTATTATTTTGTTAAAAGAAAAAATTTATAAATTTTCCATTTTTACTATTTTTGTCAATTAACTAGATGTCTAATATTTTTTTATAACAATTATTTATAAAGTGAATTCTCATGAATCATGAAAATTAGCAATAGATAACATATATTGTATACCACATGTGCACATTATATTATTATGGAATATTAAAATCATGGTGAACAAACATGAAAATACGATTTTGCAAATATTTTTATGTAATTGAGTTTATTCTAACAAGGAATACAAGCAGTAAAACAATCCAGATCACATAAGATTTTATTAAAATAATGGATCAAATAAATAGAATAATAATGACCAGCAAATTAAACAACATTGTTCAATGAATTAAGAATAATGTTTCTAGAAAATTTTTCATTTGTTGTTAATAAACATTTTATCTTACTATTATTATTTATCATCTAAGTATATAATGCAGCAAAGAAATTCTCTTTGAAATAAAATCAATTTTTCTTAAGATTAGTAGTTGGTTTCTTCAAGGATCTTAGTGTATTGAAAAACTCACAATCATCATTTCTTTGTGGTTTTGCTCTCTCTCTTAGGACTTCTTTAAATTCTTCATTGCTCATTAAATTTTTCCTATATAATTGTTCCATTGATTTACTCTAAGCTGGATAAATAAAAATTATAAATATAAGCTATTTAAATTGATAGGTATATTAAAATCAATAAAAACATACTTTAGCAATTAGAACCTTATTTAGCATAGTTAACAATTTGTCAACTTTGAGGAGAGTGAGTGGTATTCTCATTGTATCAGATCTTCAAAGTCCACAGATGTAGCCATCCAGAACATCCATTATAAGAGTTCAGAAGTATTATGCTTATAATACAACAAACATTGATCATTCAGTGGAATGAAAAGATGTAAGAAAATCATTTGACATGACAATAAAAGCGTTCAACCTGAATGGAGAAAGCTGATTATTTCTATATTATTTTTCTTCATGAAATCGATCCCAGTTTTCTTTATTTTTTGTTGTAACATGTCTTTCATGACCTTTGGCATTTTAAGACTTCCATCCAATAGATGTTTGGTGGCTTTTTCACCTTCCCAAAGCCTTCCCTCTTCACTCAATATATATTCATTGATGGATCCCAATTCTCGTCCTATACCATCACATTTTCATCTGGATTGCATTCTTACATTGATGCTATCCCTTTGGTGATTGTTTCATTTGCTTGAGGCTCTTGAACCTAGAAGCAAATTTTTTATGTATAAGAGAGAATGTAGAAGTAAATGATTGGGAAAAAAAGACAACAACAATATTTACCAGATAAATTCTAAATTTTGAAGGTCCAAAAGACACATGTCAATTAATATGGACCTGGACACTTTACTGACACCCACTTTACCGACAACACACAACATGATATTTTAGCATTTTGTTAGTTTGTTTGATTGTGTAGAGATTAAATGTAACCCCGCGTGTTGTTGGTAAAGTGTGTTGTTGGTAAAGTGGGTGTTGGCAAAGTGTCCCAGACCCCAATTAATATGCTCCAGAAATTAATTAAGTACCACCCTTCTAAATGAGAATTCGTGAAGTCATTTGAATGTAATTTGTATCTTGGAAGACTAGTAGTAAAAAAAAAAATAAAAAAACTATATGAGAAGATTTTTATAATATTTATATTCAAAATATATTTGAACACTCACAGGTTAGAAAAAACTTGATGGATGTAGTGGTAATCATAATGTTTTTTATTATCGTAATTTTTAATTTCTAACCCTGAATTGATGATCCTGCACATTTCAGCATAATGGACTAAAGATAAAGAGAAAAATCATTAATCATCTCAACAAGATTGAAGATATATTTATTTACTTTTCTATATTGTATCATATGATCCATTAAATTATCACTGAGCTTTGGATCATTGGATAAGTTATAAGTGATAATATAATTCCAGTCTTTTTCTTCAAAAAGTTTTTTGTCCATATTATTTTCTATATCAACTATAAAACTGTGCACAGGGTTTTTATTCATGAATATCATGAATATCATTAAGGGGTTACACACTATTAAAACAGCAAAAAATCCCTTAAAAACATGAGTTGATCACTTGATTTTAATAGTGTGTGACCATGGGTGATCCCCTTATGATATTCATGAATACAAACCCTAACTGTGCAGAGCACTAATAAAATGTATTTACGAAATTAGATCACAAACATGAGAAATAAACTACACATCAACTTAAATATCAACCTTTCATTATTCAAGGTTTTTCCATAATTGAAGATAATATCTTTGACGTATTTGTTCAATGGTAATTTAAATTTCTTTTCATCTATCATTTTGGAATAATTTTCTGTGAACTCTTTGTTCTATCAATTAGAAATTAGATTAATTCAGATTAATTAAAAACAAAACAATAATTTTGATTGATCATTTGAAGAGAGTGTAATTTACTCACTCATATTTGATTTTCTGTGAAGGTATCCTCTCTATGAAACAAAGAAAGTCATTAATTTTAACACAAAAAAATATTATTTTTTAATAAAACTTGCTGAGAGTCTTTACCTTGTTTTCTTATTTGTTTGGTTTTCCTTTCTTTTTTGGTTAGTCAACTGATGTATGTTCATGTTTATGCATTATGTTTAATAAAATATACAGATTAAAATTGTGTTTAAAAGCCAAACTAGAGTAACAACAAGTGGTGGGTGATAACCACCACCATCCTTAAAACACTTACTTGTGTTGTCCTTTGTTGGTTTTTTGCCTTCTTTTTCTTGTTGTGGATTTTGACATTATAAAAAAAAATTTTTAAAAAAGAAGTTTGTTATTTGATCGACATGTACACATTAATTATTTATCCTATTGGTTTTTTTTTTGGGAGGACAGACACAAATTGATTTTTTTTTTTTTTGGAAAATCAAAAAACAATTTATTTTTTGACAGAGTCCAAGGTGACAAAACATGAGTGTTGTTGTTTGGTTTGGCTTGGGTCTCCTAAAGAAACATGTTGATAATTAACCAGAGGTACTATTTTTTATTTGCATTGATATAGTGTGGTGTCTTTTATTTTAGCCTATAAATATTTTAATTGGAAATCAAAACATGGAGCAGATCTTGCTGGGTAATTACAAGATTTTCATTGATAATATTTTGCTTTTTGTAATTGTAATAATAATAATATTATTATAAATATTATAATCACAAGATGTCAAGGCTATACATGAAGTCGAAATGTTTCGACTTGAGGCAACTACATAGTAAAAATCAGTTTTGACCTTATTTTGACCCTATTTTGACCAGATCTGCAAATGGTTGAAATAGTTTCGACTTCATGTATAGTCAAGGCAATACACCATTGAATATGAAACATTTTGATATGTGACATTTGATTATTGGAAATTTGTAGAGACATTGAAGCACATATGCTACCTTGAACACTTTACAGCCATTCACACATGTTCCCCATGTACATAAGGCTAATCTGACTTGCATCCCTCAATGATACAATGATGCAACTGAATTCCCCGGGGAGGGGGGTTGCTCTGCTCTGGAATTTATTGAGACTGCATCAATTGTCAATGACACTTTCACTAATCTTCCCAGACCAGAGATGGCTGCTGACATGCTGGTTGAAAAGTTGCATGTAATGGTCCTATCTCTAGGGCAAGGATGGCTCTGTGACCAAGTCACAACTCTGCAGATGAATTGTATTATTAGGTGCACATCCAGATCCGTCAAAGCAACAAGAATCTGCAACCTGTTTCAAGCACAGGAGGTTGCAATTCAGAGCAGGGTTTGTGGCCCTGAAATTGCATTGGGCTCTGATGTTAAGAGGGAAGTTGTAAAATAGTGTCTGTTTTGTATAATCACTTTCATAAATTCTCTGTTTCTCTGATACTAACCAATTTATAATTTTTGCCCAATGATCTCTTAGACTTGTCTATTAATTTATATTAAACTGCTTGGTTTCTTGAATTTAAGCTTCACCAATATGATAAATATCAGGAGATCAGTCCATATCAGTTGCTTTTTTTTACCATCTTCCAATTTGCCTTCCAGTTTGCCTGGCAAGGGTAAATATCAACCAGAATTTTTATATGTCAATCAAGGTTCATGATGTCCAATTGGTCTATTATATTTCAAAGATGCTTTTGATAATACGTTTTCCTTTTTTATTTCATTATTAGGTTTTATAACTATCATTTGAGTTATAGAATTATTGATATCATCAATGATAATAGAAAGACTCTTTACTCAAGCTATTAGCCCCTTTGTTATAGGTAACAATAAATCTTCAGCATCATAACATCTCTGCCAAAGTATTATTAATTCTACCCATAACATGCTAACTTTCTGAATTTTTACATCATTCATATTCATTTATCAATATATATCTCAATATTTTTCATTAATATTTTCGGCCAAGCAAGTAAGTGAACATCTGTATATTTTGATATCAATAGTGGTTCCAATTCGTACTATTCATTATAGCGAGATGCTATATCTACCACAATGAGACAAAACATATATGACATTTTTCCAATCCTATCATAGGATTTATTAAGGTTATGAGCTTGATGGCTCTCATTAAGAATTGTACTCTTGTTAAATGATGTATGGATAATATATCTAGGAAGTGGAATTTGCCATTTAAGCCTGAGTATGCAACTAATCACACATTTCATTAAATTTGAAATTATGCCCTGTATTTTGATGCATCACGAGGTTTTTTAGCAGATGGATGATGAAATTTTTTATTTTATTTATTATGATTAAATTCAAGCATATGTTCAAACAATAATAACACCAATCCATTTATAATATAAATATGTAATGGATACAATATATGGAGGAAAGAATTTAACAGCAAATACATTATGATAATTTTAAAAAAAAGATAGATGTGCCGATCATCTAAAACAATATTATTAAAAAAAGATAATAATAATAATGACATTGTACTATGTTTTAGTTTTCGTTTTACTTATTCTTGAGGTAATTTAATTAATATCAACATTATATCTATTTTCATTATTACCAAGGAGAAAATATTAACAACTCTCTCTTTGAATATTTAGGCAGTATCATTTATAGTGTTAATTGTAAGCATATATTATATTATTTTTTATTATAAATAATTATTATTAATGGTTTGTTGGTTTTCACAATTATTCTAAAAGCTACCTTTTCCTCGCAAATGGAGACGTGTAGTATTACGTTGGATATCAAAATCAGATTTGGTAAGCTTCATTTAAACCCATTCAACGTTATTTGTTTTTCTTGCAAAAAAAAATTATAACTTTACTTTCTAGGTTTCAAAAACGCAATTGACCTTTAAATTTGCATTTGTGTAAGGTTTTTTCTTCTTTTTATATAATATATATGGCATGAAGTATAAATTTATTGAAATATATATTTTATCTTTAGTTTTGTTGGGATCTTATTTTTAGGTAATATAGTATTGCTAGAATTATAAGATTATGGTTTTATTATTATCGGTTTTTTTACTCATTTTATATTTTTTTTGATAAGATGCATGTAATCGCAGTTTCTTTTCAAATGATACCAATGAGCATTCTGATGCAATAACTGAAGCTTCCCATGCAGCCAAAAGATTCTACAATCAACGTAACATGTAAGAGATCATCATATACATATATGATAGTTACATTGTTAAAATATATATTAATATATATCAAATCCAATATATATATTTCTACTAGGTATATCACTGGATTTACACTCTTTTTAACTTTGTAAGTATTATAAGTATTTATTGTATTGCACAAATAAGATTTTGTCTAATCCTCTCTTATTATCATTAAAAAGAATTTTGAATAGAACATACATGTTAGTTTTAGATCTATTGAAAGCTGAAGATCAATTAGATGCTATTAAAAAAGAGGTATTTGAAAGCAATATATACATATTATATACATTACATATATCTCTCTATATTGATATTTAGTTATCATGAATTTATAACTCATAGGCTGCTAATAAGGAAAGAACAGATTTAAATAAAACAGACGAAGCTTTGAAAGAAGAAAATGAAAGATTGAAAAAAGATTTGAAACAAGAGGTTTTGAAATCCAAGGATCATGAGATTTTGAAAAAACAAGCTGAACAACAAAATGCTGAATATATTAGGTTAACTGATAGATTAAATGAATATGAAAGGATTATAACAAATCAGTCTGATGAAAAGAAAAAAAGTGTCTAAAATAAAAATAATATAAAAAATAATTATTTCTATCAATATTATTATATATGTTTTTTTCTCAAATTCCATTTTTCTTTAAATAAAATCATTAAATTAAAATTATAAAAATTACCTTGATTAATAATATTATTATTATAATCAGTTTTTTGAATTTGAATTAAATTTTTTTGAAAATATTGATTCCATTTCTTTATAAGTTGAAAATTATAATTCCCAGATGAATTCAATTCTTATATGTGTGATATTATACATACATACATACACATGTTATTATTATTATTCTGCTTCAAGTTTATTAATTCCAAATAAACGGACTTTATGTAATTGTGGTAATTTAGCAATAAGCGCTATTAACAAAAATGCGAAATTGATTAGAAATGTAAAAACGTCATAATGTGTATAGTGTGTACTAAGCAAGAATCTATAAATTAAAAAATGGTTAATCATCATCATCGGTATCATTTTAAGAACGAAAAAAAAAATACATTATAATAGATTTCTTTACATACAATACAATAGGAACAGCTGTCAAATATTTTTTGGCTGGTGTATATTGTGCTCCATTATCAATCTGTTCCCACAAAGTTAATCCATCATAAGCACCAGAGTTAAAATCAAATGGAACTCCTTTTACCCAATGAAACATTATAAAACTTCCCTAATATATTATTATATATATATATATATTAGAAAAAAATAATATAAAGAGTATATATTTAATTGATCAAGCAACTTACAAAAATATAAGATAAATTTGTAAAAGTCCAACTTGCTTTAGACGAAACTCCAGGAATTGAACTGAAAACTATTTTAATACAAAAAATTATAATGATGTGGATAATCCAGGCACCTTTATAATTTACCCAGTTCGAATGTAAGTTTGGTAAAGCTGATTGGTCCAAGGTATCATTGTATGAAGATGGTTCTTCTGCTGTTATAAAATTTTTTGATCTGTTTCTCGGCATAATGAGAATGTGTAAAATATAAATAAATAGGGATTCGAATTTGAAATATTAATATAGGTTTAAATAGCGTGTAACACGAATTTCTACCCAATCAAAATAAAGAATGGGTGGAATTGAGGTATTTATCATTTATTATTATTATTATTATTATTATTAAATGCTGTTACACAAATTGAATGAAATATCAACATATATTAAATATGTAATAGTAACGACATCACAGACGGAACCTATCTTTAAACGAAAGTTTTTTGCTAATGCTAAATTTGTAATATTTTTGAAAAAGTGATTTCATTTTAAATAAAAATTTTTCATTTTAAATAAATTTTTAAATCATTTAAAACAGGGATAAAAATATTTAAAATAATGCCACCCTCATTTTAAATGTCAAATAATGTAGACTTTTGTCATGCCTAGCATGCCATACTCCAATGTGTTGGTTTATCTTTTGGTTTTTTCCTGAATCAAGTATTTCTTAATTAAGCTTTCCTTATTTTTAAAGCTTTTAATTTATTTTACTTTCCTTTTATAAATTATTCATGTGAGACCATTATAGAAATTTGTTTACATAAGCTTTCTAACCTTATTTAAGCATTTGTCTATGTGAAACATTTTTTCTTGAGGGTAAAACCCCCAGGGTATAACCCAAGTCACTTGAGGATAAGCCCCATGGGAGAGTTTCGTGGAACCAGTTTAGAGAGTTTGCAGATCACAGTCTTGTGATAAATTATAATGTGATACAATAAGCAATTAATGATTATAGATGATCTGCACCGTATTACAGAGAATTACGGATTTTGGCACTTGGTTGCAAATAGTATGACAACTTGGTTGCTAGATACAACTTCTGTAAATCTGATTTACAGACAGCATCATTACTTTGGACCAAGCCAACTATATGACAAAGAGGTAGATCAACTTTGTTGATCATACATAATGTATTCTAATATTAATCATGAATGAAATTGAGCTTCCTAAAAGCAAAAGCAAATCACCACATTTTAGAGAACATTCCTGAAGATAGTGAGTGATGAGGAGAATGAGAATGAGGAGATAGATGTCAATGCTAACATTACAATTAAATTCTTAAAAAGTTAATATTAAGATATTAAATAATGAGTACAACAACAAGGATTTAAGCTTAGAAAGGGTAGATCAAAGAAATTTGAAAATGACAATGAACAAGCTATAATTTGCATCCTATCAAAAATAATCCAAATGGTCACATATATATCACCACATTTTACAATGAACATTTGAACATTTGATCCTTCTGCAAGAATATGAGTCAAAAAATCATTTTACCAACTTATGCTAAACAATATTGAATGGATGTGTGTAGATGGACATTTAAAACCTCTTGCAATAATACAGCATATATTAAAAATTAAAAATAAATATACCATGCATGCAAAATTTTTTTTTGTGCAGGAAACGAAGACCCATAATATGAAATATGGTGAGTTTTTACTTTGTTGAGTAGAGAAAAAAAACTTCAAATAAAAGGCTGTTTGTAGTTTTTGTATTAAAGAATATGCAAAAGTGCCACAAAAACAAAAGTAATATCTATTTCCAATGAATGAGTTTCACTAGGCATAATTAAAACAATTATTTTTCCATAAACTGACATTTGTTCATTCCTTAATAATTCAGTGAAATAAGGTGATGAATGAAAGCAACCAACGATTTTAACAGCCTTTTCTGAAGTCTTCTTATAAATGGCTGATTCTTTGAAAACTTCACCAGCAATTGAAGTGCCATGCAAGACAAAAAAACCATGTTAAGATGTTCTATTAAATTGTAAATTTTAAATTTAAATTTATTAATATATAAATCTACTAGCAGCATATTCCCCATCAAAATCTGAAATAAAGTAGTTAATTTAAATTTTTTTTCTTTGGCATCACAGATTATTTCTCTGATGTGCCTAATACTAATTAAATTCTCTGTTTTTGACCTTTGATCACTAATACCACTTATTCCCGAACAAGGGATTCATAAATTGATGTTATAAAACGACATCTAATAAGTATTCTTGTTTTATGTTAACCCATCCATCTAGAGCTGTGGTTACTTCGATTTTATCATTGCTGATTGAATGATTTATTCTGTTAACAATTTAGTTGATTGCGGTGGTAAAATCCGATTGTTCTATAGCTAGAGAAATACACCTTTTTTTCAAGAATAAGAACAATGGCTTGATAATAAATTTCAAGATATGAATTGTTTTTTCTTGATAAAGAAATATTTTATTGTTAGAAGTGGTTGTTGATGATTGACATAAGGTAAACCCTTCAGTTTTTAAATGTTATAATGTAAAAGAGAGATATGTATATTGTATATTATCAATTGAAAAAAAATCACCTACATTTATTATTTTTAAATCTCTCCATCTTTTTTTTTTGTTTGGATGTCTTAATAAACTGTTCTCGATATAATTTTTTCTCTTTCTTTCTTTTCCACTTGTAAAAAATTTACGCATTTTATAAGAGATATCCATGACAAAGTTTGAAACAAAACAATCTGCTTTTACGGACACAACAGGTGATAAAACTGAAGCAGCACTTATGATATGATTTTTGAAAATATGAATTTTTGATAAAGATTTTTACAAAATTTGCTTTTAGAGATGCCTTAGAACTCCTTATATATATATCTTGAAGTGGTCAGAGTAGACAAAGATTTTTACCAACTTCGGTAGACCAAGAACGACATCTATCATAAATGAGCAAAACTTTTGGAATCATTTATTTGAACTTTAAGATATTATTTTTCTTCTATGTGTTGTTTCAAATAAACTACAAAAAGATATGGCACGGTTTTATGAAGTAGTTCTTGCTTTTAGATGGATTTTCAAAGTATTTTCTATCATGAAAATGAAAATTTTCTCTTGAAAAAAGATGAACAATCACTTTTACTTTTTATCTTTAATCCTTCATAATATAGAGCTTCACTTTTTAAAAATAATACAATCAGAATTTTACATGAATATTTACTATATCAAAAGAAAGCTTACCCTTTTGATATAAAACATTTAGTCAACTTGATTATGAATTGTCTCTTAATTTGCCTCTGTTGAAATTAGGGCTTCTATTCGTAATACAAATTCTTATTCGAATTATTCTTAATACAGTTGACCTTTAATATTAATTCGAATTAAAAAGTTTTATTCGAATCAAAAAGTTTATTCAAATTAAAAAGTTTATTTGAATTTAAAAGTTTATTCAATTAAAAAATTTAATTCACTTTATTCAAATTATTTGTTTTATTTGTTTTATTCATTATCGGAATCTTGGGTTTGTTCATTCATTTTATTAGATTATTTGGAATCATGGGTTGTTCAGTTACTTAAATATTCAAACTATATTAATATATACAACAAGGTTTAATTCGAATTAATTTTCTTATTCGAATTATTCGTTTTATTCGAATTAAAATTTATTCGAATAAACTTTCAATGTAATTCGAATACTCAAATTCATAACAAATAAAGTGAATAATTTGAATAAACCTTATTTGAATAGAAACCCTAGTTGAAATACTTTGGTCCGATATGTATTATATACATTCAAAAAAAAAAAAAGTAATTGTATGTGAAAAAATATTAAAGCCTAGTTTTTGATTAAGGCATGAAATAATTCTTATCATTGCTGAGTGTCCCATCATATTAGTTACTTCGTTTGTATCAAGCAATTCATCTTCGTTATCATTATCAACAAATTCTTGATTACAAGGTTGGATAGGAATTGCAATATGATTTCTTTTATAAAGTCTTTCATTTCCAACCTGTTTTTTTTTTCAAAATTAACAATGATTGGTTTGACAAATGACCCAAACGACTTGTCATTTGAGGTCACTTAGTCATTGTCATCATTGTATCAACAAGACTTTTTTGGTAAATTAACTGATTTAACACTGAGGTGAGAAGATTTTTACATTCAAGGTCATTAATTGAGTTTTTACAAAGCCATTTACAAACATATATATCAATATTCAAACCTAAATAAGTCTACAATTTTATTAATTTGTTTGCAACAAATATAATAAATACCTGACAAATAAAATATTTATGTTTAATCCATTAGCCATTAAAAATTTAATGTAGATTCATTGTTAAACAGATCTTTAAATAAAACCAATCCATACACATTTGATTCATTTCCATTCATACCCACCAAAGCTAAATATCCAATCTTGCTTCTTCCCATAAAGTTTTACCAGAACAAGAGCAAACTTTTTTCGTATTTTCAAAAGCACCAGCACTACGAGCTATAATTCCAGCAATCAAACCTTGACCAGAATTGCCATCAATCTTACTTTGCTTGTCATTTCCTTTACCTTCATCATCCTTACCATGACTGATAACTATCGATCTTCCAATTATCTCCCAAACTTTAATACGTCTGCTCTCCACTACCAGATCACCCCATCCACTTTCACCAACATAAATATTTCCCAAATCTCCAATATGTCCAATGTTAATGTCACCATGCTCTACATTTTCTGGATTATAATGATCCCCAGTACTTAAAGGTCCATTTGAAATATCTCCTAATTCATGTATGTGAATTCCGTGATATCCTGGTGTTAGTCCTTGTACAGTTATATCAATTAAACATATGTCATTGTCTATTTGAACTAATCGTGCAAGTCCTCGTGGCTCTTTAATTTTAATATCAATATTACTATCACTGTTATTATTGTCATTTATCGGTCTATAAGTATAAGTTTCAAAGATACAAACAGCTGCTCCTGCATGCGAACCTACTCAAAATTAATAAACATCAAAATATTATAGTCATTTCAACATATTATTTTTTAAATATTGAAATAATAAATTATACCATTTATAGTTCCTTGTCCTCGTACAATAACAGTTTTTCCTGTATCTTTTAATTTTCTTGATACAATTGAAGGTGGTGCTATATATATATAAATATATATATATATATATAATGAAATTATCCATTATAATGATAATAATAAAAGAGAAAACTATTAATATATATATATATATATAACCTGTTCCTTCAACAATAACTTTTTGTTCCTGAAGATCAATATCAAAATTATCAATTCCTAATATAAAAAAAACATTTTAAATTATTTTGTTTAATTGAAAAAAAATATATAAATAACATTTATATTAATACCAGGAATATTTTTTAAAACATTATTTATAGTTTTAACACATGACTCACAAGTCATTTCTACAGCATATTCTGTCTAAGAATATACACACTTGTATAAATATATATTTTTTTGTTTAATCTTATATCTTCTCAAAGGATAAACATAAAAAAAGAACCTTGAAAGGTGTATGTGCAAGAGCGCTACTGACTTTTGACATGATTTTTTAAACGAATAAAATGAATAATTTGAACTTCGAATGAATGAATTAGTATTAGGGGGGGGGACTGAATGTTACACATAGATTTGTAATTTCATAGGGGCGACAGTTTTGAAACTTACTAGTAAAAATAAAATAAAGCGTGGTTAAAATTTTCATACTTGTAAGAAAAAATCTTCAGCTTTCTTTTGATATAACTATTTTCAAAGTATCTTTCCTAAAGCTTCAAAAAAATACCATCGGTTGTAAAAAATATATTTTCTTTTGTATTTTCAACATTATACATATTATTTACAAGCTTTTATATATGTATACAACTTTAAAACAATATAAACTTTGTTTTTAATCTCAGGAATTTGGTTTTCTTTATTAATATTAATAAAAATAATGAATAAAAAATAAAAAATAAAAAATATTATTTTTGAATCACAACATTGTTGGAGAAATAAATAAAATAATTTATCCTTTTAAAACCTTCATTGAAAATGATATGTTTAATGGTTTAGGATGGTCAAACATCCAACGTAGATATGAATTCTTTATTACGAAGCAGAATGCATACTGTTACTGGAATTAGATTTTGACGCAGATCTTTTGGTCGAATTAGAATCTCTTAATTCCGGGACAATTTTTATATTTTATTTTTATTTATTTATCAATAACGTGTATAATTATTTATTATCATCTGAATTCGTGTTACGTTTCGCGTATTTAATTATTATTATTAATCAACCCGTAGCACATTCATATTTATTTAACTTTATTTTAGTAGAAATTAATGACGATACGCTCAAAACGTGCGGATTCGCCCAAGTACAAAGTGAGCGAATTCGCGCAATCTGAGCGAAAACGCACAATTCGGGCTAATATGTAAATGAACATGTATATAAAGAACTTGATTTCGACCTAATGTAAAAGTAATTTGGTAATAAGTTAATTAGTTTCGACTAAATAAAACTAAATAAATAAAATAGTAATACTTTATTTAAATAAACTTTTCTTTAAACAAAATTATTCGCTAATACCAAAATCAATTCGTTGATCCCCTATTCATTCTGATCCACGCAAAAATCAAAATAATTGTTATCACCAATTAAAACACGCTCTCCCAAATTTAATCGGTGACAATAGTTATAAATGCTACACATATGTTTTTTTTCAGTAACATTCCTTTACATAAATTCCACCAACATTCACATCATTTTGAATGGTAATCAAAAGATTTTTGTTATAAGGTTGTATTTAAAATACATAATAATATCCTTTCCTACATGTAAATTTAATGACAAATCTTTAATAGTATTAAATATGCACATGAAGTATACCTATTATTTTATATATACAGTTCACTCTCTCTATAATGAACACTAAGTAAAATCTCTCTATAACAGATTTCCCTTTTGTCTCTGATTCAATTTTTTATAATTAATTTCTCTTTCTATAATAGGGATGTTAATCGATTATACAAAAATGATTAAATCGAAAAAATCGAAAAAAATCAAGTGTTAAATAAATTAACAGTAGTAATGATAATAACAATAATAATTGCAATAGTAATAATAATAATAGTATAGTAATATTTGAAGCAATTTTAATTTTAGAAGTCTAGTTTTAAAAATTAAATGCCATAACCTAACGAACAAGTTCATACATAATATACAAATTAATATACATATTTCATTCTAAACATTATAAGCATAATAATAGCAGCACTAATAGCAACAACAACAATAGTAGTAGTAATAAATAATAATAATAATAATAGTAGTAGTAGTAGTATATTAATATTTGAAACAATTTTAATTTAGAAGTCTCAACTAGAGAAATAACCAAACTAGACAGAGATGAATTTGAATCATATAAAAACATACCCCAAATACTTCTTGTTGAAGAAAATGAACCATTAAAATGGTGGTGTGATAATAAAAAAAAATTCCCAATACTTGCTATTTTAGCCAAAAAATATTTGGCAATTCCTTCTTCAGAAGGACTTTTCTCTGAT